AAAGTTTATACCTCTTAATCACCTTCACCTGTTTCACTTTCCCCTCAACCCCAACCCAGTCTTGTAACCAATAGTTTGTTCCAGTATTTGTCTGTTTCTGCTTTGTTTTGTTTTATTTGTTCATTTTTTTTGTTTTTAGATTCCACATGAAAAAGAAATCATACAGTATCTGTCTTTCTCTGACTTACTTCACTTAGCATAATGCCCTGTAGGTCCATCTATGTTTTCTCTCATAAGATTCTGTCCTTTTTTATGGTTGAGTAATATTCCATTGTGTATATGTACCACATCTTCTTCATCCATTCATCTGTTGATGGACCCTTAGATTTCATTCTTATTTTGTCTCTTGTAAATAATGCTGCAATGAACATAGGGTTGCATATATCTCCTTTAATTGTGTTTTTTGTTTTCTTTGGATAAATACCCGGAAGTGAGATTGCTGTATCATATGTTAGTTCTATTCATAACTTTTTGAGAACCTCGTACTGTAATTGGTTACACCAGTTTATATTCCCACCAACAGTGTAGGAGAGGGCTCTCTTTTCTCATATCCTTGTCAACGAATCTTATTTTTTGTCTTTTTGATAATAACCGATCTAACAAGTGTGAGGTGATACCTCCTTGTGGTTTTGATTTGCATTTTCCTGATGATCATCATTATTTCATGTGCCTGTTGACCATATGTATGCGTTTTTTGGAAAAATGTCTATTCAAGCCCTCTGCCCATTTTTTAATTGGATTATTATTCTTTTTACATTAAGTTGTGTACGTTCTTTATATATTTTGGATCTTTGTTTTAATGAGAGGCAGTCTGTCATGGCTTTAGAGTTTTTCTTTTTTTGAATGTCAGTATTTTGCTTTTCTTAGAGATTTTATAGATTGAAGGATCATTGCTAAGGTAGATGGCTATACTTCACCATAAATGTTTCCTTATTTTCTTTCCAGCAACACCCAGGATCCTTCTCAGCAATTGACTCCATCAGTAGCTTCAGTGCGGAGCATGCCTGAGAGGCAGGAAAGCCCAGCTTCGGCCAGGCCAGGGGTGGCCAGTCTCACAACTGCTGCAGCCTTCAAGCCACAAGGATCCATGAGCATTATTAAGTCACCAAGCTGGCAACAGCCAGACCAAGCAGGTAGGCAAAAGAAATCTCTTCCTATTGCTTTTCTTAATTGTAATTATGAAAATGTGTTCTGGGTTATATGGTAGAAATCACTGGTGAAACCCATGCTACACCATCTAAGATTGTAAAAGGACAGCAAAGAATAGCTATAGCTGTTTGTCTCTCTGAAGTGTCTCATAACACTCTCTCTGTATATTCGGCACAGTTGTCACTTGCTATTCATAATTATAGAATTATAGAATGGGTATTTCCCTGTTTCCTAGAGTACTCAGGAAGCATGTGTTCAGTTGTAAATTTGATGTCTTATTAACAAACCACATTGTTAGAAGGTTAGCCTTGAGAATACAATTTAGTTTTGATGATACATACAAAATAACAACAGAAACATTTATTACCATCAATTATGAAGAAAGAATTTTTGACCTCTTATCCTCTGAAGATTTACAAGGCAGAAGCAGAAGGATGTAAGACCAGAAAGAGAACATTTGAATGGAAGGATGGAACAGCTTGGGCTCAGTCTGGAAACTTGAGTTTTCACTCACTCCTGTGGATAAAGAGCTTTAAATAAAGATATTTAACTTCTTTGATCCTTAGTTTTCTAGTCTGCAAAATGAAGGCAGACTAAATAATACTTGTTTTCCCAGCATGAACAAAAGTTCTGATTATAGGACTAAAGTACCTCTCTTGAAAGGAAGATGGGACTATATATATGTATGTATATATGTATACACACATGTGCGCGCACACACAACCACATACATGTTGTCAGTCCCATCCTTCATCTCTTCTCACTCTTTATACTCTCCCTGGATAATCTGTCATCCAGATTACTTGTACTATCTAGCCACTGATAATTTACAGTCCTCTCTCTCCTAAACTCTGTATCCTCAAACGTGTTGACCTACTTGCTGTTTCCAGGTGGCATCTTAAACACAGCATGTCCAAAAATATCAGTGCCTATCTTTGGGAATAGTATAGTGTCTTGCCAATGGGTTTCAGCCCCGGGCAAGTTTGCTTTGGAATCAGTGTGACCAAAGAAATGGCAGTAGAACATTCTTGGGGTGAAAGGGTTTATTACCCGGCTTGTTCTCCCAGTGGTGGGTCGAGCACTAGCATCTCTGCCTCCGTGCGGAGCACTGGGCGCAGCTCTCTATATAAGCGGTAGCCTAGCAACAGGCCAGTCACATCATCAAGTGGTTTAA